TTATATTCTACTAGATTAATAGTCCTTATCCACTTGTAAACATATTTTCATATCCTAAAATAATATGACTTTGTAAACATTTTTACACACAATTCCGTCAGAGCGAACGTTATTTATATAATTCACGAAATTTCACCACATTTAATACACTAACAGTACTATCAAAAAAAATCAGCCCGTGCATTTGCACGGGCAAAGACTAGTAGTAATAAAAGTGAGAATCATAATCGTTTTAAATTCCCAACTGGCAATCCCTAATCAAATGCACGGGCAAAGACTAGTAGTAATAAAAGTGAGAATCATAATCGTTTTAAATTCCCAACTGGCAATCCCTAATCAATAGTTGGCCAATAAGTCACGTAATCCCAATTTATCATTGCAACAAATTTTCCCAAGTAAATAGCGCTGTCCTCAAAATATACCTTAATTTAATCAACCAATCAGAGGCCTGGCTTATTTCAGAAGCTTTCCTATGAAACACACTTCTCGCTCTTCAATCTCTCACTAGAACCCCATTTTCCCCTCCATATAACCCTCACACCTCATAATCCGATTCCCCTTCGGCTTTGGTATATTAGAGTTTTCTCTCTCTGACGTTGCGCTTTTTCTCTCTAGTCTTTGATTCTTATCCTTTTAAGGTGTGTTTCTGATTCTCGATACAAGTCCATTTTTGTTGTTGTACTTTACCTGGTTGTTTTGATCAGTTTTAGAAAAAAAAATTATTGGGTTTCTAGGGTTTCTTGAATCTTGGATTCGCTTTGACGTTTTGGGGGCTGTTCTATGTTTTCGTCAATTTTTCTGTAGTTTTGTGGTTTTAGTACTGAATAAAATCTGAAATACATTGAGGTAGTGGGTTGATGTGGTTTTTATATATTTTAATCCATATATTTAATACGGATTGGTGTAATGGAATATGGGTTCTTCTTAAAAACTTTCCGTTTGTATTCTTTTAGCAGTAATTGCTTTCATTGAACTATGTTCATAGTATTTGCTTTATGGATGTTATGGTATACGAGGCTTATGGTGTAGTTAAAATGCCAGGGCTGGTCAACAGATGTCTTTTGATTCTAGCGAGAAGCACCAGTGGTTTCTTTGGATTGCTCTCTGTTTCATGAACCGGCGGAGGCTTTGGTGCTCTCGGAAGGTCTTGTTTAGGCATTGGACTTGACAGTAGTTAATATTAGTTTTGTGGGGAGGGTTGATTGTTGGGGGTTGTGGTGTATATAATTGTGTCTTGGTGTTTCTTTTCCGGTGCAATCTGCTTTATTTTCTTTAGAAGGGTTTTTTTTAGGTTGAGTGAGGTGTATTGGAGTACTGTCGGTGGAGGTGTTCTTTGGTTGGTGTACTGTGGGGCGTTCTATTGTCATTCCTTGATGGCAAGAACGGCCCTTCCTCCAGGCTTTCGATTCCATCCAACTGATGTCGAGCTGGTTATGTATTATCTCAAGAGGAAGGTTATGGGAAAGAGGCTTCACTTTGAACCTATTGCTGAGGTCAACATTTATAAATTCTCTCCATGGGATCTTCCAGGTACTTTTTCTCTTTATAACATTTATTGGTTCTATAACATACCTGGTACTTGCGGTCCCTATATGATGATCTTTAATAGTCAATTTTAAGATGTATTCTTTTGCTAGCAATCTGAAACCCATTAAATATTGCAATTTTTCTGACTGTTTTAAAACAATTTTGTGTATTTTCATTTGAATATTTTTTTTGGTGGAATCCTATGATATTGTGTCTTTATATGTTTTCGTTTGAGTTATCAATGCAATTCAAAGTTCATTTATTTCTCTGTGTTGCTGCAGATAAATCATGCTTGAAAAGTAAGGATCTAGAGTGGTTCTTCTTCTGCCCTAGAGAGAGGAAGTATGCTTGTGGGGATCGAATGAAGCGTGGTACTGAGAATGGTTACTGGAAAACCACTGGAAAGGATAGACCTGTCCATTATAATGAGAATGTTGTGGGAATGGTGAGAACCTTGGTTTTCCATCGAGGTCGTGCATCCCAAGGACAGAGAACCAATTGGGTTATTCACGAGTATAGGATCCTAGATGAGCAGTTGGCTGCTGCTGGACTTCAGGTTTATTTTTAATATCAAATTTCAGAGTGATTGCAAATCTAATGATTTACCCAGTAAATAAGTTTCATTCAAAGTATTTTTTTTTTTTTTTTGTCATTAACTTTTTATCTTTGACGAGTAAATTGAGATGCAGGCTATTGGCATTTTGGTAAAAGATGAAGTCAGATCAATCTTTTATTTGCATTTCGGCTTTATCTTTGTCTATGTTCAATTTCAAATTTGACACACTGCATTACGTCCTTTTTGTTTTTTTTCATCTTCACTTTTGTTAAACTACAGTTTTCTAATTTATCTCAATTACACTCCATTTGGAGTCATATATATTTTTGAAACTGTGGCATCATTTCAACTTAAGATGTTTAAAACAAAGATAGACTGTATTTGGCATCTGACGTTTGTGTTTGGATGCAATAAAATGATTTACGTATCATTAATCTAATTTCAAGTTAAGCAATAATACCATTTATTTATTGGTCATTATGAATCGCGTTAAATTACACCGTTGGTTAGTCACTGTAAACTCTGGAGATTTTGGTACCAGACTAATTTTTTTCCTTTCTGAAATTACCACTCCTTGTTGATTGCTCTATAACTTGTCATTGTTTGATTTAATAATATTATTGCTTTCTTCACATCCAATTATGTACATGAATTGAGGATGTTTCTGGCTCGCAACATTTATCTAATGGCCTTTGATGAGCTTCTCTCATAAGTCACAATTTGCTTTGTCACACTTTTCGAAAAGATTACAAATTCTGACCATCGTAATTGTATCTGAAGACCATTTCCTGTCAGCTCATCGTATTTAGAAATTCACACTTGACGCTGATAATTTGTGCATGGATATGCAGTGTTACAATGCCTCTTGGTACTCCTTTCTCATTTATGTCTCACAACCTTATATCATTATAGATTGTATGATGAATTTGTTTAATGGGCATCTTTGCTTAAATATTTGAAAAGTTGAAATGCCCCTATAGACAATGGATAGTGTCTAAAGTTCGGGTTGAACTTTCTTTTTTCTGCTGGAAAGAGTAGGTAAGCAAGTGTAGACCCTCTGTTTTTGCATTAATGTCAAGTTGAGGTTTGAAGAGTTCTGATGAATGTATCATGAACTTGGCTTGTCCCTTAGCATCATTAGATTTTCAGTTTTGCTTTTGCTGTATACTTCTTGTCTGTTCTTTCGTATCAGAAAGAAGGGTCGGAAAATTTATCTTTTCTCATTGAAGAAGTGGTTAACATTTCCCATATTTCACAGGACATCTACGTGCTTTGTAAAGTCTTCCAGAAAAATGGTCTGGGCCCAAAAAATGGTGCACAGTATGGGGCACCCTTTAATGAGGCAGATTGGGATGATGATCATGATGATGATGTACAAAACCATGTCACTTCTTTGCCATCTGATGGTCCGTCTCTCACAGCATCAACATTGCCTGAAAATCAAAACTGCTCCGTTATAACAAGTATGGTCAATCCTGGAAGTAAGTCTGGACAATCTATTGAAATTGGCCCATCGCATTTCTCCGGTCCTTCAGTTACAGATGACAGCGTGTTACTCAATGAGAATGGAAATCATGGGGTATGTGTTCTTTTGAAGTTTTGAGTAGTCAGATTTCTTTTGCTAGTTAAATAAAATTTTCATGAAGCCGCCTTATATCTCTTGAAACTGCTTATATCAAATCTGTACAAGATTTCTCAACTTGAAAGAAATCAGAAATTCAACACGAGGTGTCAGGTCTTTAATATCCTAGCCGTGCACATGATAATAAGATTTACAAGTACAAAACCTCCTGTGTAGGGTGGTTTCATTGTACCCTCAAAGTAGGCTTCTTTTCCATCATACTGGCCCCATCTATCCTGCTAAGATATACCTTGTATATTTTTTCCATTTAGAACTTAAGCCCCTGTTTGGTTCAGTTTAAAATCTGATTTTAATCTCAAGTCAAAGTCAATAATTAATTTTAACCACTCATTTCATCAACTTTTATCAAAATTTATTAAAAATTTGATTTTAATCTATACCATACAGGGGTTTAATATTGCTGCTTTTGGATCATATATTAGCCATGTAAATTCATTATGCATTCCTTCTTTCCATTAACTTTCTGTTTTAGTCTTACTGTTTCCTTTTAGGGCAGCTCCTTGTTTTCTAGAAAGTCTTCAGATTAGATTTATAAGATATCTATCCTGCTAAGATATACCTTTTGTTTTTGTTTTTGTTATTTCTTTTTAAATATATCCTGAGTTGTCCCTCAATTGTCCTTGAATCTGTTATGCTTGCATGCACATTTCAAATGTTTCCCACCTTTTTATGTGGTTAGGATGTGTCTTGATTGATTCTGAGATGGATGTAAAAATTGGAGCCAGACCATGTATGCATGGATCAATTTTAAAGTCAGACTTGTCCTCGAGATTATGTTAAACACTAATACTTCCTTGAAATCTCAATATTTGCAAAGATTATTTGTAAAATCAGTCTTGTCATTGAGTATTTGTTGTGTGTTTTTATAAGCTTTTGATAAAAAATTTAGCAGATTTTGATAAGAGTTCATGAAATCTGTGGTTTAGATTAATTATTGACTTTGACCTCTAGCTTTTAAGCTATCCCAACCATGCACTTTAGAGGTGGTCTCTTTTCATTTTCTGAAACAAATACTTCTGTGATTCCAATATGTTTTATACCATTATTTGTTCTGCTTCTTACAGCTTGTTAATTATGGTCTAGAGTAGCAACCTCTGATTAGACAAATATTAGTGACGTATTTCAGTTTTTAACTCGTAGAATCGCCATTCATTTGAATATTATTTGTGATGCCTTAATTTAACCATTTACTGACATAAATTGAATTTAACACAGAAGCAAGCTGATCTTAATCAGAAGGGGAAGAATAAATATTTACCTTGTCTGGATGGAAATGAAATATACAATGGTCTCTGGGACTTGGATAATTGGGAGAACTACTTACTTACGTCTGAACTATTTACTGGCTTGCAGAAAGATGGCTATCCTCTGAACTACACTCTGCCACAAGATGACAGCACTTATTTGGAACTTAATGATCTTGACGTTCCACTGAATCGCCCTGCTGAAGTTAATGAAATGGAGCAGATGCAATTTGAAAACTTCTTCATACCGTTTGCCCAGGGTGATACAGAACAGTTAATTTTTGGAGGAAATTTTTCTGGTATGGATGAATATGCTTCTTGCCTAGGCCATCTTCCTGTGCCGCCTGAGAGATCCAACCAACAAGGGAGTTGTTCAGATGTGCTTCAGATGGTGAGTCCTCCTCGAGACTAATTTGATTTATTTATTTATGAGCATGTTAGCCTATGGTTAAAAAAGTTTACTTATAAGCAAGTAGTTTTAAAATAAATAATTTTGTTATTGGTGAAAGTTGGCTTGATGAATGAATGCAGACTTGAT